CACACACACACACACACACACACACACACACACACAGAGTCAGCGCACACACACACACACGCACACACACACACACGAAACCGAAGAATGCACGGGGAATAGACGCCCGAGCGATGGCAGGTTACTTCGTCAAAGGCCAAGCTTGGAGCCAGCTGGGGGTCTGAGGTGGCCCAGCATTGGTTCCTGCGAGCATCGGGAAGGTGCTTTTTACCTTTTTCGGTGCCGCCTTCAGGCCTCGGGACAGTGAAAAGCGGATCTGGGGTGGAAAACTGCGCCAGATGGACCCCAGGAGGGGTCTTGGGGACCGATGTTGGGTTGATGTGACCTCAACAGCCCTCACGACTGATTTTCTGGGGCCCCAACCAGCTCAGGCCACCAGGGAGGGGCAGCGGCAGCGGTGCCGCTGCCTCCTCTGAGGTCTGACGGGTCGCTGCCGTCGGAGCTGCCCACCGACGTGGTGTCGCCGGCGGTCGACGGCCTCTCTTGCGGGAGCGGGTCGGCGGAGGAGGGCAACACAACGGATCCACCCAGGCGGCACCTTCTTCCCAGACATGTTCGCGTCGTGCACACAAGCAGGACTGGAGTTGTTTCGTACTCTCGGCCTCTGCGGGCCCTTGCTGGGCCCTGGGACCGTAAAAAAAAACGACTCGGGACGAATTAGCCTGGCGAAAGACCCAACCATACGCAGTTGAGAGCGCCGCAATTGTGAATCTCGTTTTCGGTGGAACTCCCTATGAGGCCAAGAACCGCGTGAGGGGCGTGCCGATGTATGGCGGGGAACGCAACGCGGAAGAAGACGATAGGTCTGATAACGAGAGCTTGAGAGCGGGTGAGTCTGAGCACGAGTGGGTCTGATTGAGTATGAAACTGCGTGCGGGGGAATCTACGTGTATGAATGTCGACGCCCATATCGGCCCCCCCCTCGCGTGGATCGCCCCCGCTTCCTCCCGCTCTTTTTCTCCCTCTTTGCCCGCGCACTCCACTGCCCAAGGCTGCGGGCGCAGCGCAGCACGGAGTCCCCGAGACGCGCGCTGGTCGCCCCGAAGGGGTCCCAGCAACGCACGCGGGTCGTCCGTTGCGCGGAGCAAAGCGAGCTAGTTGGCTGGCTGGGAGCGGGCAAGGCCCTGGCCGCCAGGCAGAGCGACGACGGGCGAACGAGGCGCTGGGCAGTGCGCAGCACGGAGTCCCCGCGAAGCACGCTGGTCGCCCCGAGAGGGTCCCAGCGACGCGCACGGGTCGTCCGCGGCGCCCAGCCGAACTGTCGGACAGCCTGGATATGGCGCGGCTCGGGCGGGCCGCGCGGATAAACTCGGTGAAGCCCAGCTCCCTGGCGAGGGTCGTGGCCTCCCTCCTGCGACGGCGGCGACGACGACGACGGCCCATCCCAAACGAGGAGCGTTCCGGGGCGGATCGTACCCGCGCACTTCTAAGTCCAAGGCTGCGGGCGCAGCGCAGCGCGGAGTCCGAGGCCAAACACTACCGCGGCAATTTGCCCCGGAGCTTGCTCTTCAGTGTCGGGTAGTTACTAAAGATACGATTGGCCAGCATAGTCATTCTCTTGCGGACAGTGGCCGAATCGTGGAGTTCTGCGTCCATTACATCTTTCTTCGAAGGGGGCGCGTAGCCTTTGAACGGCTCGTAGGGCACGCCTTTTCCACATAATAGATCGGCCACTCCTTTGGATGCCTCGCAAACTTGAAGCCAAGTCCGGATGGCCCCATCGATCTTGAAACGCATCTGGAAGTGTTTCAGAATGCTCTCAGTGACGTCCTTGTACTTCTGAATTTCAGCGATGCTAAAAGGGCCCTTTGGATACGGGATCGCCAGCGACGAATCGGATGGCGCGGCGGGGGCCAGGTCCAGGTTCGCCCACCGCTAGCAGCAACTCCGAGACCCTCGAAGTGTCAGCCGGTGAGAGACGATACCGGTCCGGGTTCTTCAGCATGATTTCAGCAGCATCAATCCAAATTTCCTTCGATCTGAAAGTACCAAAATGTGGCGCCCCAGCAATGATGGCTTCCATTTTCGCTGGCGGCGTCAGATCGTGCCATGAACAATCGGCAAGAGTAGTTGCAAACACCCATGCATCCTTTAGTGCGCACAGGTTTTGGCCAACCTCGAGATACAGAGCGCGCTTCTCCACCCAGTTTGCATTAGGCATCAGGGCCCGCCCATACGGGGCAAAGGACGTGGCTTTGAGGAGATCCAGTAAAACGTCATTGATCTTGTCCAGAAAAGCATCCATGCCTAAAGAGAAAGCGTCGTTCTGGAAGAATGGGAAGGCATTCGTAGCCATGGCGTTTCTTGATTGCTCAGAAAGTGCAGTCCTCGACAAATACACGTTCAGATAAAGAGCGCGTGCATCTTCCAGAAATGATGTTTTTGCTGCGACGGCGTCGTGAGCCTCCAAAGCACGGCGCTGTACCATTGTGAATATGTCGGTGTCGCGGGTGTTTGACATGCGAATCGGCAAGCCAACGGTTTTACGTACATTAATGATATCTGAACACAACTTGAGCCGACCGGCGTCGGTGAACGTCATGACACGTAGGTTTTCTACACTGCCATAATATTTGGTCAAATCCGCACAAACACGACTTGATGAGAAGAACGGCGTCGCATAAAGATATGTCGGCGCTCGAACACACTTGCTTAGCAAGTGCTGAAATTCTTCGTCGGAAACCTTTAGCTTCTTGTCGCTACGTGGAACGCCAGGCGTTGCAATCTTACCAACGCGCACAATATCCCCACAACTTTGGCAAGTTTTCACCTTATGATAGTTTGTTGGGTCACGATCAGGTGGTGCTTCTTCATCAAACCAGTGGAGTTGTTCCCATAAGCTCCGTTTCATCCCGAAGCGCGGTCGGCTGGCAGAGAAACACTAACAACGCCACTTGATGGTGAAACCGTCTTGCGCACAAGTGGCTAATTACGGAAAGCCTTGCTAGCTGCGTTGCTAGCACCTCCAATAACCCCCCTTGGCTTCTTGGAAGGCCACCCCCTTCGCGCCACCCTGGGCCAGCACCCGCTCGAAATCGATCCTCGGGCCCCTGCCGGGTCCAAGCTGGCCAGTTTTCCAGACCGCGCCCGTGGTGACGAGGGGGCCCCCCGAATGGTAAAAAGCCTCGAACCTCGATCCTCGAGGCCCCAAGACGGCCCCAAGCTCGCACAAGAGGACTCCGGCCCGGAGCGAGAGGCGGGCCCCAAGCTCGCACAAAAGGACTCCAGCCCGGAGCGAGAGGCGGTCGTTGCCGCACGACTCAGGCCGAGCTGGCTGTTTGAGCCCCGATGCCATGAACACAACGCGGCATCTGGAGGCCGCTTCTGGGCGCTTGGGCCCTAAACAAAACTACCCTGGACTGACCACCAGGATGGGGTCGAGAGGTCCGGGGGCTTCGCGACGCGACCAAAAATCGGAAGCTGGGGCCCTAGACAATACTACCCGGGACTGGCCACCTGGATGGAGTCGAGAGGTCCGGGGGCTTCGCGACGCGAAACAAATCGGAAGTCTGAGGTCTCACCCTGCTGGCCAAGATGTCTCCCCGTGCTCTTCTGCTCCACTCTGATATCCGTCCTCCCCTACCCGTCATCCTCCACCTTCCCGTCCTCCTCATCCTCCTCCTCTTGGGTATCGTCGTCGTCAGGAGCGTCAGGGTCGGCGGCCGCCGCACTGTGCGGCCCTCACTGTGGGGCCACGAAACGCTGGACTGGGTGTGCGGGACGCATGCGGGCACCCTCACTGGGGCCTTCGGTGGAGCTCCCTTTGAGGCCACGAAACGCTGTACTGGGTGTGCGGGACGCACGCGGGCACCCTCACTGGGCCCTTCGGTGGAGCTCCCTGTGGGGCCACGAAACGCTGTACTGGGTGTGCGGGACGCATGCGGGCACCCTCACTGGGGCCTTCGGTGGAGCTCCATGTGGGGCCACGAAACGCTGTACTGGGTGTGCGGGACGCATGCGGGCACCCTCACTGGGCCTTTCGGTGGAGCTCCCTGTGGGTCCACGAAACGCTGTACTGGGTGCGCGGGACGCATGCGGGCACCCTCACTGGGGCCTTCGGTGGAGCTCCCTGTGGGGCCACGAAACGTTGTACTGGGTATGCGGGACGCATGCGGGCACCCTCACTGGGCCCTTCGGTGGAGCTCCCTGTGGGGCTACGAAACGCTGTGCTGGGTGTGACGCGGGGCACCGTCTTTTCAAAACGAGGACCCAACACCACAGGATGGTAGGGAGGAAGAAGATGATGATGATGATGATGTTGGTGGTTGTGGTGATGATGATGATGATGATGATGATGATGATGATGATGATGATGATGATGATGATGATGATGATGATGATGATGATGATGATGATAGCGGCAGGAGGAGGGGGAGGAGGAGGAAGGAGGAACGCGGGTCACCGTCTCTTCAAAGCGAGGACCCAACACCACAGGATGGTTGCGTGACGATGACGAGGAGGAGGAAGGAGGGGAGGAGGAGAGGAGAGGAGAGGAGGGACGCGGGGCGCTGTCTCTTCAAAACGAGGACCCAACACCACAGGATGGTTGGGAAAAACCTGTCTAGGGAAGGGGTCGGGACTTCCAGGGACTGCGATTGGGAATCATCATGGCATTGCGCGAGGAGGGCGGCCTTCTAAGAAGGCGGGGGGCCTCTTAAGAAGGCCGGCGGGTTCTCAGAAGGCCCCGGTGGCTTCCAGGAAGGGCTCTTCGAATCCGGGCGGGCTTCTTCTTCTTCTTTGAGAAGGCGGGCGGGCTTCTTAGAAGGCACGGGGCGTTTCAGCAGGCCCCGGAGGCTTCCAGCAAGGCTTCTTAGAGGCTGGGCGGGCTTCGGAGAAGCCCCCTCCTTGCTTTCCTTCTTAGCAGCGCCGCCGCCTTCTCGAACGCCGGCCCGCCTCGCGCCCGCCCCCCTGTGGGTACCGCCAACCCTCATGCCCCCCCCTCCCGGAAGGACGAAAAGCATCACAGGAGGAGGGCAACCAAACCGTGTGGTGAGTCGGTGAGGGCTTGGGGTGACCGCGCGGTTGTGGTCCCAAGGCGGGGATTTTGACAGAACCACCGCCTGGAGGACCGATCTTCGGAGCCATCGACAGGCGGTGGATCTGGGTAGATTCGGGGCCCCTGGGGCCCGAGGGGCCCGAATCTGTATGTATATATAAATAAATTAAAGCCAAATCCAAATCCAGATCCAATGCGCGCTGGGATGCCTCGACGTTGGTTCCACGGGCGGTGGATACAGTCAACCCGCATGTTCAACGCACAGTGAGGATGGGCAACCTTCCCAAGGGTACCCTTGCATCCTTGCCTCCTCGGTCCATGCTTGGCCACGTTCGTTGGCCGCGCCCCGCTCGAAAAGCTTCGGGAGTGGGCCTCCGAGGCCCCTGCATCCTTATCGCGCATCCGTGAGGCACGGGTTGGCCGCACACGTTCAGGAGGGGAAAAAACACACAGACACAATTAATCGTCGATTCCCAGGAAAATATAGGAAAATATGGGAAGTGGGGGGGAAGACGAAAACCCAGAAAATATAGGAAAATATGGGGAATCATTTTATTTGTGTGTATTTATTTGTGTGTCCCAGGGCCCCTTCACACGTCCCCGCCTCGCCTTTGGAGGCTTGGGCCGCTCTTCGATGGAGGTCTCGGGACAGCTCCGGGGCGGGCCGCGGTGCCCCAGCGTCCTGCGGCGGCGTGCCGTTCCGTGCGGTGGGGTCTCGTTGGGGGGGGGGGGCCGAGGTCACCGCGCGGTCTGTCGCCGCACCGCTTAGGGTTAAGTCTGGCATGCCCCTCTACAGAAGGAATTTCGGAAGTCGAAGAAACATAGTCTGGGGACGATTTTTCTTGTATTTTTTGATTCCCCCACCTGCGTCGCACCCGCGTCTCCTCCCACACACCTCCCTCTTCCCCTCCTGCTCTTCCTCTCCTCCCCCTCGCCTCGCCCGAGCGCAACGCATGCACGGCACTGGCGTGTTCACACTCGCGTGGCGTGGCAGGCGTGGAACTTTCTCGACACGCGTGGCGTGCGCAGGGGGTGGTCCCTCACCGCGGTCTCTATCCGTCCCAAGGTCGCGGGGCGTGGCAGGCGCGGCCGTTTCTCGACACCAGAGGGGGTGCGCATGGGGGCAGATCTCGCCGTTGCATTCCATCAGTTGCACTAGCAGGGGTTTGCGCAGCATCCAGATCTGCAAACACTTTGGCTCAAGCCGGCTCGGAGCACCAGGGTACCCAATCGAAGGTCGCAGTTGTTTGTTGTTTGGTGCGCACATACCGTAAGTAGGTATGTGGGGTTCCTCGGTCGTGTATTTTTATAGTAGAAACACACGTTGATAAATGATTTCGATTTTTCCTCAACTCCGCCTGTGGGAGGAAATGCCCGACCGAAGCTTGGGGGCACCCCCGAGATAGGGAAGGAAGGATCGGCGGCGCCCGCCAGGGGTAGGCGCGAGGAGGGCGGGCGGCCTTCTAAGAAGGCGGGGGGGCTTCTTAAGAAGGCGGGCGGGTTCTCAGAAGGCCCCGGAGGCTTCCAGGAAGGGCTGCTCGAATCCGGGCGGGCTACTTTTTTGTGAAGGCGGGGGGGCTTCTTCTTAGAAGGCGCGGGGCTTCTCAGAAGGACCGGGAGGCTTCCAGGAAGGCGTCTTCGAGGCCAGGCTGGCTCCCGAGGAGCTCCCCCCCCGCCCTTCTTCTTCGCGGCGCGGTCGCCTTGTGAGAACCTTCCCAGGCTTGGCATCGCTCGGACGTGTGAATTTTTCCTTCGGCGAGGGCCATCGAGGAGCATCCTTGATCATTTGGCGAAAAAACCACGCACGAAACCGAAAAAAACACAGGGAATGGACGTCCGAGCGATGGCGAGCAGGGGTACCCGGGGCCTCGTCAGACGGTCCCTGCCTTCGCGGGAGCGTTTTCCGCTTTCTCAGAAGGCCAGCCCCCTCGTGCCACCCCCTCGTGGGCGCCGCCGACCGAGGGGCGGGAGAGGAGAAGCCGGACCTGCCATCCTCGATCCCCGGGCTTCCGTAGCAGGTCATGGGAGCCATGCGTGTCTTCAAAAGTGTTGTTTTTGGAGTGCACTCGCGTGCGCTAGTGTCTGGCTAGCGTCGAGTTGGGGTCGACCAGTGTCGACTAGGGTCGATTAGCGTCGAGCAGCGTCGGCGAGGCGCCGATTCGCAAGAGCCAGCTAGATGGCATGGAGGGCGCCCACGAGTTGCACCCGAACCAGGTCCTTCCGCTTCGAGGACGGCGTCTGGAGGCTGGACTACCGCGATGCCCTGCAGGGCGTGGCCGCGCGCTTCTCGGTGCGGGTGGGCACGTGCTACCGCTGGTCGCCCTGGTCGGAGTGGACGGCAGAGGTCTTAGGATGGGTTTGCGTCCCCTAATCGAACCCCTTCTGTACGACGCGTTTGGGATAGGTTTTGCTGTTCCTTGCAGGCCAACGCAAGCATTCCCGACGGCCACGGCCCAAGAACGCCATTTACATATTTGAATGGGCTCGGGAAACAGAGTTGTTTCCATTTTGGCTTTTTTTTCATTTCATCTTGATTTGCACTTTTGGTGTGACTTGTGCTTATCAAGAGTAGCGGCCGAGCGCCGATGCCCACAGGTCGCAGGCGATCCCAGGACCCGTTTCGACCCGATCGATCCGATCCGGGCCAGTTCGGGCCGATCCGATTCCGATACTCCGGTGATCCGATGCGGCCCGCGATGCTTGCACAGCGCCGCCGCGTACCCTGACGCAGCCGATGCGATTCGATTTCGACCCAGTGCCGATGCAGCCCGATCCGATGCACATTCCGATTCGATCCGACTTCCCGATGCGATGCTGACTGATCCTGCCCTTCTCCCTGGGTGCCCCCCCAGCATGCTGGCCGGTGAGAGAAGCAAGGGCCAGCCGGGCGCACGCTCAGCCAGGAGGGGCGCCCCCCGATCGTCTGATTGCGCCGAGCTGGGCCCAGAGTGCGCTGTCCAGTCGGGAGCCCCACGGAGTCGGGGAGCGGGGCCGCCGTTCCTCGGGGCTGGAGCATGCACAGTACCAGGGGCGGGTGAATCAACGAAGCATGTATACACATGGTTCATTGCTAGTTCTTCGGAAGTCCTTGATTTTTGTTGGCGGGCCAAGATCCTTCCATTTCTGATTCTTCTATCCCTGGCCGCTTCCGGGCCACTAGGGGGCCAGGAACAATTAGAAACGAGCACAATTAGAAATGAGCACGATTAGAAATGAACGACGTGTACACCAGGATCCCGTAAACACCAGGATCCCGCGTTCCTGTACGAGTTGAAGTGCGGGGGCGGCAGAAGTGTCGGTGTATGGAGTCGGGGACCTACTGGCCCGGATCAATCCAGACCCGGGTCAGTCAGGCCTTCCATATCTTACAAGATTTTGCAGGATCCTTCAGGATTCTGCGCTCAAGCCCGGGTCAGTGAAGCCCTGGTTCTGCAGGATCCTGCAAGATCCGGCGCTCTGACTGACCGCCGTTTGCATTAACCCCCGTCTCTTGAGCTCCGATAGAGTTCTGCTCCTTCATTCCCCCCGTGAAGAGGTCGAGGTGGAGGTTCCCGAGCCGAGCTGCCCAGGCGCAGAGGTGGGCGAGCGGTCTCCAGAGATCTCCCTCCGCTCGCTGGGCGACAGGGAGGTCGAGATCGCTTGGCCTCCGTTCGGCACTGAGGGCATCCTCTCGAAGGCGGGGAGTGTCGAGCAGTGGCGAAGCGTCCTGGCTTGCATAGAGGCCCACCAAAAAATGTTCTAAGAGCCTTTTGTGGTATGCGCGAAATGTTCTTCGAACATTTCTGGCTGAGAACACATCGGGCTGCTGTTCTACGGTGTGTTTGTTCATGGAGCATGTTTGGGTTCTGAGAAAATTCGTGGCAGGTCTATAGGAATGCCGGGCCGGTTGGTCCCTGCTCAAGAATAGGGGATCGATTAAAGAATTGATGTTCCAAGACTTGATTGTTCGTCGAGTTCATGAAACAGATAGCGTCTGTTGTGTAGGTTCGACGAGGAAGTAAATTTTGAGATACATCAATTCTGTAGTCGATCCCCTACTCGAGAGGTGGAGTACCGAGTGATGGTCTGCGTGGTGCAGGGCCCGACGGACGACGCTCCTGCATGGGATGCGCACGGCTTCGTGGCGGTGATCCTGCACGAGGCCTGGTCGTCGAACGAGCTCTCGACCGTCGTGCGCGGTCTGCACCCGAACACCTGGTACATGATTCGCATCGACACACGCCACTGCTTCGTTGGCAAGCGCACCTATTCTGCCAGCAAGGCGTTCTCCGCACCGTTTCGCACCACCTTTCCTCGCAGCCCACCACTGCAGCCCATGCCAGTGGCCGAAGGCGGGCACCTCTTTCCAGACAGGTTTGTGCAGCCGTCCCAGAAGGATGCCGCCAACTTGATGCTAGGTGTGTCTGAAGAAGACGTGAGCAAGAGGCCTTGCAAGGCGCCGTACGACTGGTCCAGCTGGCCTTGGGTTGCCCTCCGCGTGGAGCGCAGCTACCTCTCGGAGTACACGATTGAATACAAAGATGCATTTGCAGCGGGAGAAGAGGCCGGTGCCGAGTACTACCAGGGCTGGCAAAGGCCGGAGGCCTTAGAAGTGGCGGACGACGGCGGCGCAGCCGAAGGGGGCCATGACGACGGCTGGCAGGTTGTCCGGGTCGGCCTCGGCGCTTCCGCGCCAGAGTCGGTGGTGTGCCGACTCGTCAACAAGGTGCCCCTGGTTGACATCTCCCCCATGCGCTGGAGCGTGGCGACGCAGCCCCTGGTGCCCTTCCTTGCCCCCGTCTCCTTCAGCATGCCATCCGTCTGGGGCCAGGTTCGGCCACGCGTAGGTGTGACCCCTCGCTGGAGTGGCCCTTTGGTGCGGGCCCACAGGGGGTTCCCCCGGCACTGCCGTTCGCGCTCGGATGTGGCCGTCCCGCGGACCCCTGATAGCCACGCACCAAGAACCACGCTCGCCTAGGGCCGGCGGCGAGCGAGGAGGGGCAGTGAGAAGGAGATGGCCTTCTCAGAAGCCGGCGGGACTTCTCGGAAGCCCTCGCCCTCTCTGAGCAGCTGCTTCTGCCTTCGGGGCAGGCTCAGGAAGCCTCTCAGAAGGCCGTAGGACTTCCGAACCTTCTGAGCAGGCCCTCTCGTTCTCACCTCCCCCCCTCGCTCGCCGCCGACGGGGTCATTCTTGCGTGCGACCGGCAGGTCAGCGACGGGAGCTTCCGCCTCGCGCTCCGCTTCTTCCTGCAGCCGGCGCCCACCCAGCCCGGCGAGCATGCGGAGCCGCTGGCGCAGGCGCCCCCGCTGGCTGCACCGCCGGCGCCCCTGCCGGGGCACCGCTTCGCCTCGCGCTACCAGCTGCGCCTGCGGCCGGGGCGCGAGCGGGAGGACGGCAGAGGAGGCAAAGGTACCGAGACCGCTACCCGCCAATTACCCTGACCTCGTTGTCGCTTTCGTGGGCCTCCCGGGAGGCCCTCGTCGCCACCTGGATTCGCTACGGAATCGTGGTCAGAAGGCGCTCCGGGAGAGGTCCTGGGGAGTTCCCACTGGGGAGTGGCAGCATCGGTGCGTTCTGGTTCCCCCAGGAAGGCAGAAGCCCCAGAAGCGAAAGCAATGGCACGAGCTGCAGAAGGGCCCGCACCATGCCCGCGGAGAAGACTGCTGACGGCGCCCTGGTGCTGCAGCAGCACAGGGAGGACGCGGTCACCGCCGTGCCCTCACCGCAGCCCTGGCAGGAGTGGACGGAGCTGGCGCCACAGCTGCTGCCGCAGCCGTGCATCCCGCGCGGGGTAGACGGCTCGGGGCCGGCGCCCGACGTGGACCTGGGCGCGCTGGCGAGGAGCTCGCCCGACGCGCAGGCAACGCTCGCCGACCTCACCGCGCGGCTGGGTTGGCGTGGCGCCCGGTACGAGGTGGATCTCGATCCCACCGCTGACGATGATGATGACGATGATGCTGCTGCTGATGATGATGATGATGATGCTGATGATGCTGCTGCTGCTGATGATGATGATGATGCTGATGACGATGATGATGACGATGATGATGATGCTTATGATGACGATGATGTTGCTGATGCTGGCGATGATGATGATGATGATGATGATGATGATGATGATGATGATGCTGAAGTTGGTGATGACGATGATGATGATGATGATGATGATGATGATGATGATGATGATGATGATGATGATGATGATGATGATGATGATGATGATGATGATGATAATGCAGTTGGTGATGACGATGATGATGATGACGATGATGATGATACTGATGATGCTGATGATGCTGATGATGCTGATGCTGATGATGCTGATGCTGATGCTGATGCTGATGCTGATGACGATGATGTTGATGATGGCGCCCGGTACGAGGTGGAGCTCGACCCGGCCGCCTCCGAGCTGCTGCCGCTGAGGCGGCGCCTCGCCCACGGCGAGCCCCTGGAGCTCGAGGTGCGCGTCGGCAGCGAGCACCGCTGGTCTGCGTGGGCTTCGCCGGGCCAGGCGCCCTTCCGGCTGCTCGCGCCCGCGCCGCTGCCCGCGCTGGAGGGCCAGTTCGATTGCGAGGCCATCATTCAGTCGGGCCTGTCCCCCTACAGGAGGAATGTCCAAGAATAGTCAAACAATAATGCGCGGACGATTTTTGGAGTAGTTTCGAACATGTCTCAGCTTTTGTTTTTTTGTAACAAAAACTATTTTCAATTTTCCCTCCAAAATCCGCCTGTAGGGGGACACCCCCGACCTAAGGCCATCAGCGCGACCCAGCTGTCCCTGTCCTGGGAGCCGTTCGAGCCTGAAGAAGCAAAAGCGGCATAAAAAACATAAACTTGTGGCGCTCCGCGGGGATGTCTCGGATCCGCGCTGGGCCCCCGCGGCGGCGCCTCCGGCGCCGCCCCTGGCGCGCTCCGCGCGCCAGGGAGGGAGGTCCAGCGCAGATCTGAGAGATCCGCGAGGAGCGCCAAAAGTTTATTTTCGCGCCGATGTTTCTTCTTCTGCGAGAGGCTCCCCGGCGTCACGCGCGTGGAGTACGTCGTCCGCGCCGTGCCCGAGTTCGACGACGCCGGGGGCGAGGGCGACGACACCTCCGCCGAGGGCGCGGGCGCCGTCGAGGTGGTGGTCGAGGAGGCCCATGCGGCGCGGCAGACGCTGGAGGAGCTGCTGCAGACCCGCGAGGCGAGGCGCTTCCTTGACGGCACCACCGCCGTGGAGCTCCCGCGGCTGCTGGACACCGCGCGCGCGACTGCCGGCCGCGAGCGCGAGGCCGACCGGGACCCTGGCAGCGCGGTGCGGGCGGACATCTGCGGGCTCCTCCCGTGCACACGGTACGCGGTGACCGTGCGCGCCCGCTACCCCGCGGCGAGGGCCGCCGGCCTGCGAGGCGGCGCGGACGCTTGCCTCTCCGCCGTCGTCGTGACCCCCGGCGGGGCGGCGCAGCCAGCGGCGCCGCTCGCGGTGCCGCTGGACAGCGCGCCCGGCGAGGAGGCGGCGGGCAGCGCCGGCTGCGGCGCCCGCGAGGCGTTGCTCGTCGTCGAGCGCTTCTCGGACTACACGCTGGAGTACCGCGCGGCGGGCCCCGAGGCGGCCAACTTCGGCGCGCTGGGCGCGACGGAGCGCTCGCGCTTCGGGGGCAGCTGGGAGGCCAGCGAGACGCCGTGGCACCAGGCGGCGTTCGAGGACGACGCGGCCGGCGGGGAGGACCTGGATGGGACCTCGAGGCAGGTCAGGGTGGCGTTGCCTTCCTTCGAGTCGGAGGAGCCCCTGCCAGACGTCGTCGAGTTTCGGCTGCGCGCCCTGGCGCTCTCCGAGGCGCACCCGTGCCGCTGGACTGGGGGCATCTCGGAGCCGGTGGCCGTGTGCATCGCGCCGCCGCATCGCCCGCCGCGCCTGCGCCATGTGCTGGCCGACGACCGCTGGAGCGCGAGGGTGTCGCTCGATCTGTTCAAGGCAGCGCCGCCACCGGCGCCCCCTGTTCCCTTGGGCCAGAGCCTCCAGGCTGTGGACGACGATACTGGCAGCAACCGGGAGGATCACGACAGGGACATGCAGGAGCTGCGGCGGGACCACGCGGTTCCCGTACCGCCTCGCGAATCGTGGCAGGAGAATGCCGAGTTGAGGCTGGTTCCCGTTGGGTATGGCCACCGCATGGTCACCATGGCTCAGCTCCGCTACTCCATCCAGTCCTCTCTAGTGCCTGCCCAGCGCAAGCGGATCGAGGACAAGATCATCAGCAAGAAGTGGCAGACCTCCTCTGTTGTGCCGGTCAGCTCGGAGAACCTCGACGGGAGCTGCTGCACCTTCGAGATGAACAGCGACGCCGGGCCAGTGCAGGGGGGCATATACATGTTCCAGGTGCGCGTGGGAGACGGCTGCCGCTGGTCTGCGTGGTCGCCGACCTCGGTCGCCTTCGGCTGGCGAGTGCCGCCGCCGGCGCCCCCGGTCGCGACGAGAGTGGGTGCGCCTGCGCAGGTGGCTGTCGAGATCGTCTCCTCGAGCTCGGCGCGCCTGCGCTGGGGTGACTTCACGCCGGCCCCCGGCCTGACGCTCCTGGAGTACGAGCTGCAGGCCGTGCCCCAGCTCAAGGCCACTGGAGGCGCGGACAGCGCCTCCATGGCGTCGACGGCCTTCCAGCACCGGCACCGTGGGGGCATCGTCCAGCACGACATCACGGGGCTGATCCCCTTCAGGACGTACGTCTTCTCTGTGCAGGCCAGGTACCCGGAGGTCGGGGACAAGACCTGGACGGGGCGGCTCGAGTCGGCCCCAGTGACGCTGGAGCACACCGAGGTGATCCCAGATCCCCCGGCCCCCCGCCTTGTGGCGGGCGCCGAGGACGCTGGGAGCGAGGCGGACGAGGGCGCGTTCGCTGTCCTGGACTACCCTGGCGAGGAGTGCGGCGTCCGCTACGACCTGCAGTACGCGCCGGCGGTGGGGCCAGAGGCGGAGGCCGAGCTGCGCACGAGCCAGGACCCGTGGCGCGCCCCGCCGTCGCTGCTGGCCCTGGAGTGCGATGGCGCGGCCGCGCGCGCGGGCAAGGATCAGGAGGGGCAAAAACACAGACACAATTAATTGGCGATTCCCAGAAAATATGGGAAGTGGGGGGGAAGACAAGCACCCAGAAAATATAGGAAAATATGGGGAATCCTTTTATTTGTGTCTATTTGTTTGTGTGTCCCAGGGCCCCTTCAGAGGAGCCTCGCTGGCGCGCCCGCCTCCCCGACCCACGCTGCCTCCAGGGCGGGCCCCTGCAGGCGGCGCTGCTGCAGCAGGTGCGCTTCCGCCTCCGCGCGCAGGACGCCGAGGGCGCGCCCTCGGAGCGCCGGTGGTCCTCGCCCTCGGCCCCCGCGAGCGTCGGGATCGCGCCCCCCGACGCCGTGACGTCCACCGTGGCCGTGGCGGGCCAGAGGTTGGTGCTACAGGTGCTCCGACGATGTAGAAAAAGCAGAAGCTGGGGGCGTCTTTGGGGTGGGCATGTTCGCGATCGGCTTTCTCTTGTGTGTTTGTCCGTTGTGGGGCCGGTTTGTTTCCTGTTTGTGGATTCTCGTTCGCGCCGTTTGTGGTTCCGTTCCGTGTTGTACGACTATTGTGTTATGTATGTTGTTTTGGATTGTGTTTTTTTTGTCTCCCTTGTTGGTTGGTCGAATCGTTGAACAGCTGAAAAGGGTATAAAACGTCCCCAGCTGTGTCAAACATCAACTAAGTCAGGAGGGATCACACACACACGCACACACACACACACGCACGCACGCACGCACGTACGCATACACACACGCACGCACGCATACACACAAAAACACACGCACACACCCACACACACACAAACATGTACAAACACATCGCACACACATACACAACACACAACACACACACAACGCACACACACATATAAACACACACACACAGAGCCGTCGATTCCCAGCCAGCAGGAAATTCTTCACGCTTCGCATATCCCCACCAGCCTCGTTCACACCGCCCTCTGGACTTTTCCTTGCGGGCCGCGAATCAAAAATATCCCCACCAGCCCATTTAGAAGCCCTGCCCACGAGAGCTGACGGGAAAAGGGACCAAGGGATACTTCTAGGGAAACAAAGCGAGCAACCAGGATGAACCTAGAGATCTCTGGGAGCAAGGGGGTAGCCTTGGAAGGCCTCTTCGGGCCATCCCTGGGGGCTGCGTGGGGGCGAAGGGAAGAGGAGGAGGAAGAGGAGGAGGAGGAGGAGGAGGAGGAGGAGGTCGATCAAAAGATGGGGGGTCCTCGATTTCGGCCCCTTCCCAGGAACCCTCAAAATCGCCTCTTGGAGCTCTCCTGGGGCTCCTTGGGTGGGTATCGGAGCTCTCTTGGGGCTCTTTTAGGGGTCTTGGGGCCCTCTTGGGGCTCTCTTGGGGCCCTCTTGGGAGCCCTGGAAGGCCTC